TGCACAAAGGCATGATCCATGAAAGAAATCAGTGATAAACTGGACTTTATTAAAAGGAAAAACTTCTCCTCTATGAAAGACATTGTCAAGAGAATGAGAAGAGAAACCACAGACTGGGAGAAAATATTTGCAAAAGACACATCTGATATAAGACACTTATCCAAAATATACAAAGAACTCTTAAAACTTAACAATAAGAAAACAACCAGACTAAAATATGAGCCAAAGACCTTAACAGACACCTCACCAAAAAAAATATACAGACGACAAATAAGCATATGAAAAAATGCTCCACATCACATGTCATGAGAGAAATGCAAATTAAAACAAGATACCACTACCTGCTTCTTGGAATGCCCCAAATCCAGAACACAGACAACACCAAATACTGGAGAGGATGTGAAGCAACAGGAACCCTCATTCATTGCTGGTGAGAATGCAAAATGGTACAGCTACTTTGGAAGACAGTTTGGTAGTTTCTGACAAAACTAAATACACTCTTTATCATACAATCCAGCAATCATGCTCCTTGGTATTTACCCAAAGGAAGTGAAAACTTATGTCCACACAAAAATTTGCATACAGATATTTATAGCAGCTTCATTCATAATTGCAATAACTTGGAAGCAACCAAGATCTCCTTCAGCAGGTAAATGGATAAAGTGTGTACATCCAGACAATGGATCTTACTCAGCGCTAAAAAGAAGGCAGTGATCAAACCATGAAAAGGACATGTGGGAACCTTAAATGCATATTGCTGAGTGAAAGAAATCAATCCAAAAAGGCTACATACTAATATATGATTCCAACTATATGATGTTCTGGGAAAAGCAAAATTATGGAGACACTTAAAAAAAAAAAATCAGTGGTTTGCCAGGGTTGGGGGTGGAGGAAGGATAAATAGGTGAAGCACAGAGAATTTTTAGGGAAATGAAAATATTCTGTATGATACCATAATGATGGTTACATGCATTAAACATTTGTCCAAACCCACAGAAGATACACCACCAAGACTGAACTATAAAGTAAAATGTAGACTTTGGGTGATCAGGGTGTGTCAATGTAGTAGGTTCATCAATTGTAGCAAATGAACCACTCTGGAGAGGATGTGGTTAATGGTGGATATCACGTGGGGTAGGGGGACAGGGAGTACACAGGAAATTTGTATACTTTCCCGGAAACTTTGCTGTGAACCTGTAAGTGCTTTAAAAAGATAAAGTTCTAATCGTCAATAAGTTAATTCCTTAATTCCCTGTTAAAATTCTTCAATGTGGTCCCTACTTATAAAATCTAAACTCCCTTGGAAGGCATACAATATTTTTTATTAGCTGATTCCTGTATACGTTTCCAAGTTCATCTTTAGTCTCTTCCCTCCACCTAACTTAACCCTCCTCCGTGAGGACCACAAATTCTCTTACTCCTCCAGATGTTTCCATATGGAGTCCCTTGGCTTGGCAAATACCTACTCATTCTTCATGTCTCAGTGCAAATGCAGCCTTCCCAGTGCATCTTTCCCTCACTTCCCCATGTAGCACCTGGCCTGCAGTCTTCAGTCGTGGTAGCATCTCTGCTTATACTTGGTAGTTGACTCTGCCATCCAATTGCATCTTAATTGTTTAAATGCTTAATTTTAGTCTCCGTTAGAAAATAAGAACCAAATCTTTTCTTTTTGTATCTCCAGTGGCAAGCACATAGCCATATCCACCATAATGAAGACATCAAAAAGAAAACGAAAAAGAGACGGTTATGAATGACTTTGTAAGAGTACTGTGGGAATTTAAGGATTTATAAAAAATCATTTTGTGGAATATGTGAAACAACCTTTCAGCACAATTACTGACAAGTTGGAAACTTCCATAAACAGATGCAGAATACAAGTACAATTTTGCAAGAGAAGAAAAGCACAAATCCTGTGCTTATGGCCTTGGTCCCCTAAAACATTGGGAACCTACCATCATGCCACTCAAAGCACAGAGGAAAATGATGAGACAGTAGCACCTTGCTGCCCAAGGGCTGGAGAAAGTAAAGCTGTAGAATGTATGTGCTTCAAATCCACTGGCTTCTAGGACTATCTTTTTATACATTCCTAATCTGTTTTGATCACCTCTTTGAGATCCAAAAAAGAGACTTATTTAGGAACAAGAAATCAATTAGCACTCACAGATCACCTATTACAAAAGTAGATGCTAAAGGGGTATAAATAAGACATGGAAAAATAAGGTAAAATAAGACATGATTTCAACCTTCAAGTAATTTAGTTTGGTGGGAGAGGAGGAAAACTACTCACGTGAAACATCAACTGTATACAACTGAATGATAAATTATGTAATCTAATTGTCCAAACCAACATATAAATACCATTAATATCTGATAAACATGGCATAGTCTGAGATGGTTAACAATTCTATTTTTAGATTAGAAAGATGAGCTATTACAGCCATGAGTTACAAATACCACACTAAACCACAAAAGTACTTTGCAAATTTTAAGGTTTTTGGTTTGTTTTTAAGTGTGACAGAAACTGAAACAATCAAATCTTAGACCACTGCTTTTCTAAGTGAGAAAAACTATGGAAACAAAATATACCTGAGATTTTTGTCTTTGGGCTGTATTTACTGTTGGGAAGAGCTCCATCCAGAGACTGAGCAGAGTGAAAAGGTTGACTTTAGAAAGCCTTGGTATTTGACCTACAAAAGAGAGGCAGACACTTTAAAATTTTACTAATGATGAAAATAGGAACTAATACTCAAGGCCGTTTGGGTGCTAACGCCTTAACTCAGCTGCATTAGTAGGAGGCAGAAAAAAAGGATACGCGGACAAGACAATCAAGGGCAGGAGACTGGCTACAACCTCACTTTCAGCGACCTCCTCTGGCACTTTTCAAACTTGGGCCCTTTCTCCGGCCCTCACATGTCAAGGGTAAAAATGGCACAATTGATACAAGTAACTATGGGAACAATCCAAAGGAAGTTATGAGAAGTCCCTGCATCTGATGTCAACGTGGAGCAAGCTTTTCTTTAAATTGAGGTTTGCAAAAAGGGCAGTTGAGGTGACCTTTGCTGGCAAGGCATTGAAATACAGGAAAGCGTCACGTGTGGTTAATTTGGAAATCAAGTCAAAAGCACGGAATTTTCAAGCTCAATACTCGAGATCCCAGCTCTAGGTCCTGAGAGGAAAAGGAAAAGGAAAAGGAAAAGGAAAAGGAAAAGGAAAAGGAAAAGGAAAAGGAGAAGGAAAAGGAGAAGGAAAAGGGGCGGGGGGGGAGGGGAGGGGTGGGCTGTGAGCGCGACTTCAAAAGCGGGTGCTGCCGGGCCAGGGGTTGGTTCCCCTGTGACAGAGGCAAGAAAGCGCCTAGGGCGGGAATGAGACGTCCCGGGGCAGAAGCTCAGGCGAAGAGGGGCAGGCAGGGAAAGCGGAGTTAGTCGGAGGCAGAGGCTCAGGGCAGAGCGAAGGCTGGGGTGGCAGCAGCAGGGTCCGGGACACTCACCAGTCATGCTGCCAGTCTGGGTGCTGACTGACCGCCCGGCCCCCGCGCTCTCCAGATTTTGCATCTGCCCTGCTTCTTTCATCCCAAGCCTAGCGGCCTCTGCTGCCCAGAATACCTCTCGCTGTCCGGCATGATCTTGGCCCCAGCGGCTCCACCTCTAGCCTCCTCCCAGCAACTGTACGGTAACTGCCAACTCGGCGCAGCCAGCTGACGTCAGAACTTGGCCGCCACTTCCGGGCGCCTTGTCTGTTGCGTTAGCAAGGCGTGGACGCGGTGACGAGAGGCTGCCCCTCTAGGGGCTGCCGGTTAGTTAAGAAGCGCTGCGCGATAAATCAGTTAAGGCCCGAATTTAGCTGTCTTCGCTGGTTTTGCTGAAGGCCAACTGAGGATGTTTTGGCCTGGAAGGCCCAGGGTGTACACACTCTAATAGAGTGATGAAGCCTGCGCAGACTTGAGAGTTTTGGTGAGAGAGTGAAGGGGAATTGAAATGGAAAGCTGCCCCATCGGTCACCGTCGAGATCTTAGAGAAGGGAGGAGGGGTTGGGGGGTTGGGGGGCGCGGAGCTGGGCGGCCCAGGTGGTTGCTACCATCAGTGATTGGACAGTCCTTAGGAACTCAGTGCCAGGGACAGCCATAGGGACGTTCTGATTTTCATCAAACATAAGATCTCAAGGGGTGCAACTGTGATTATGAAAAAGGTGTGTGGGGGGGGGGAGGGGGAGTACTCCTGGGAAATATGAGAAGTACCTGATATTGTAGATTTGTGACCAGTGCATTTTATTTGATTACTTCATAAGTGTCCCAGGCTGGAGTCAAATTGAAGCTCCACCCTTCCTCCCCAGTGACTCAGAGCCCAGTTTCCATAACCAACCCCTTATGTTATCATAACTTGAAATACTGACAAATAGCAAGACATAAAAACTGCTTTTTGAAAGCAAAAGCTGAACATTATTAAAATACATTATCTTGTGAAGGACTGAAGGGAATCTTCAGTGATGATGGGTATGGCTATGGTTCCTTAATTTTCACTACTGTATAGTATTTCATTGTAGCTATAAACCACAATTTATTTATTTAGAATGGCTAAAATAAAAAGTGCTGACAAACCAAATATTGACAAGGATGCAGACAGCTGGCTATCTCATACATTGTTGGGAGGAATATAAAATGGCACAGACACTTTGGAACAGTTTGACAGTTTCTTATAAATATATGTTTGTCCTGTCACCCAGCAATCATACTCCTGGGTATTTATGCTAGAAAAATGAAAACTTAGGTTCACACAAAACTCTGTATATGAGTGTTCATAGAAAGCTTTATTTGTAATAGTCAAAAACTGGAAAAAAGCCAAACAACCTTCAGTGAATGAATAGACAACAAACTAGAGAACATCCTTGCCGTGGAATACTACTCAATAAAAAGGAAGGATACATGCATCAACTTGGATGGATCTCCAGGACATTGTGTTGAGTGAAAAGAAAAAAAAAAACAGTCTTAAAGTGTTATGTACTGTATGATTATATTTATATACCATTCTCAAAGTGTGGTGATGGAGAACAGATCAGTGGTTGCCAAGTGTTATGGTTGGGAGGAGGGTACCACTAAGAGGTAACACAAGGTTGGGCACTGACTGGCACCGAAAATAGTGTGTTAAAAACTAGTGAAATTCAGGGGCGCCTGGGTGGCGCAGTCGGTTAAGCGTCCGACTTCAGCCAGGTCATGATCTCGCGGTCCGTGAGTTTGAGCCCCACGTCAGGCTCTGGGCTGATGGCTCAGAGCCTGGAGCCTGTTTCCGATTCTGTGTCTCCCTCTCTCTCTGCCCCTCCCCCGTTCATGCTCTGTCTCTCTCTGTCCCAAAAATAAATAAAAACGTTGAAAAAAAAATTAAAAAAAAAAACTAGTGAAATTCAAATAGGGTATATACCTGAATTAATAGTTTTGTACCAATGTCAGTTCCCTGGTTTTCCCAATGTGCTATGATAATATATTATCATTGCAGAAGCTTAGAGAAAGGCACATAGGAACTCTATTATTTCTGCAACTTATTTGAGTTTTAAACTCTTTCAAAATAAAAAGATATAGCATCTGTATCATATATATGTATATATATGTGATTATATATTATATATTTATTAAATATATTAATTAAATATATTTATAATATATTTAACATTTTAATATATTTAATATAATAATATATTTAATATACATTAAATATATAGTGTATATATACATTATATATATATATATATAATCCTTAATCTCTACAAGTCAAATCTACCCTTTGAACAACCATTAGCTTTGTTGCTCATGTCCTTCTCTTTGGATTTCTGTTTTCATTCCATTTTTAGTCTCATAGTATTTCAGAGTAATACTCTGAGTAAATACTCTGATTATTTCCTTTACTTTCTTGCTAGTTCAGCCATATTTTATTTAGCATTTTTTAGTACTTTGTCACAAATTTTTTTGGGCTATCTTATCTACAATATTACTGGATATAATGGTTCTGCTGCAAAGGAGAATAAGGACTAAAAAGGAGTACAAGACAAATGCTACCTCAGTGCTAAGAAATGGGACAAGCTCAGTTCAGGTGAGCACAACAAAACCCAGCTTAATCAATAAAATGGTTTTAAAATCAACAAATAATTCTTTATATCAAGTGGAAAGAGCATGGACTTTGATGTCAGACAGATAAACTATATTCACACTCTAACCACCCAAGTTATTTACTAGCTAATTTATGAGTTAGCCGAGACTAAGTTAGCTGTGGGTAACAAATAACCACCAAATCTCCGTGGCTTGCCACAACAAAGGTTTCTTTCTGGCTCACATATGCTGCAGCTCTGCCCCTGTGGATTGGCTCTGAGATCTAGGCTAAAGGAGCAGCCTTTGGATATTCTTTTTTCCTGGCAGAAGGAAAAGAGATGGCAGAACCACATGATGACTCTTAGAGCAAGTCTCACGTCAAGCCAGACTCCAGTGAGCTGGGATGTGTAATCCTGTTTCAGGGACATGCTGAAAAGGCAGGTACAGCAAATACCCTGACAGTAATGCAATATTAGTGAATTAAACTTACTAATCATAGATCCTTTGCCTGTCACTTCATGTCTTGTCAGTAAAAAGAACTCCCATATCCCCCTTTCCCACAATCTGCAGTTTTCAACCTTTTATCACATTTGTACCATTTTTTTGTTATTCTGTTACATTTGCACACCTCCCCCACCCCATTCTTTTTCTGAATCACTTGAGAGTAGGTCACAGACACCTTGCCCAATCCCCTCTTGAAAACTTCAGTATGCATTTCTACAAAACAAAGACACTCTAACACATGCTAATTCAGCAGTCCAAAACAGGAAATCAGCACTGATCGAACACTACTGTGCAATCCACAGACCCTATTCAAAATTTGAAAAGTGTTTCAACGTGTCATTTCTATTCTGGTACAGCATCCCATTCACTGAGTTTTGCCCTTCATTATTTTCCTTCAACCTGGGACATTTCCTCAGTCACTACTAAAGTCATTTTGCCTTCTGTAATTGATCAGTATTTTGTGAAGAGAAATTCCCCAAACTATGCTAACATCCTATACCAATCAAACCTCTACATGCCAACTGTAGCATTTATTGGTGAATCCCACATGAATTAATCACCATTTTTAAAAATTTTTTTAAATGTTTATTTTTGAGACAGAGAAAGAGAGCGAATGGGGGAGGGTCAGAGAGAGGGAGACACAGAATCTGAAGCAGGCTCCAGGCTCTGAGCTGTCAGCACAGAGCTCAATGCGGGGCTCAAACTCATGGACTGTGAGATCATGACCTGAGCCGAAGTCAGATGCTTAACTGACTGAGCTACCCAGGTGCCCCAATTAACTACCATTTTAATGGCTGTCCAGTTGTGATTTCTTTTTTCCATAATTCTTCCTACATATAGTACTTGTCATTCTAAAATAAGGAAGAGCTTTTCCCTCTTCCTCATTCATTCATTCATTCATTCATTCATTCATATCTATATGGACTTACGATTCCCATTTTGTTCAATGGGCTGTAATCTGCTATTTATTTTAGTGCTCAAATTGTCCCATATTTGATGAAATCCTCAAGTTGTGTCTTTTATCTTTTTGATACACCCTCATTGATCATTGAGCACTTCTTTACATTCTAGTACAACAAGATGCTCCAGACTCATCTTCTACATTCTCCACACCAGACTTAGAGTCAACCATTTCCCCAAGGAGCCCTGGTTCCTTTTAGTGTTTAAAAACTAAGATCTAGGCAGTAAGTGTGCTCACTGCTACTACTATGTTATTACTACTAGACCCTCTGAGAAGATAGATCTAGAAAGTATATTAGTATCTATATACATATATACATATACTCATGTATCTCTTTCAGCAGCTGTCTCTTTAAGAGTGCACAATGAGGGGCGCCTGGATGGCTCAGGTCCTGATCTCGTGGTTTGTGGGTTTGGGTCGAGCCCCACATGGGGCTCCGTGCTGACAGAGCCTGGAGCCTGCTTTGGATTCTGGGTCTCCCTCTCTCTCTGCCCGCTAACACTCTGTCTCTCAAAAATAAGTAAGTGTTTTAAAAAAGCATTGACCCCTTCAATTCTGGTCTAGCACGTCAGGGTTATTTCTAGCCTCTCCCTTTGCCTATTTGTAAATCTCTTCTTGAACAGCAAGAAACCTCATTCCCATTATCCTCAATATAGTTTCTTCTCTTTCGCTTTCCTTCTCCCCCACCCCAATTCCTGTAATCTAATTTCCTTAGCACATTGATTGCTTCCTTGGCTTCCCCACCCATGCTGCTGCTGCTGCTGCTGCTGCTGCTGCTGCTGCTGTCACAGCCCCTTTGGCCTCTAAGGGAAGGGAGGAGAGGGGAGGGGAGGTAATGGGAGGCTATAAAATAGCTTTTGAGTGAATTATTCAGAGAGGGAAGAAAGAAGGAAGACATGAAGGGAGGGAGGGATGTACAGTGGTAATAGGTTTATCACAAATTTTCTTGAAGTCTAAATGGTCCCAAATAGCACAGTGCCTGGCAAAGCATAGATGCTCAATATCATTAATTATTGTCCTTCCCTTCTTTGTCTTCCATTTGTTTATTCTCTATAGAAAACCCAAAACTTCTCCTTTTATTCTAGGTCCTATTGGTTGGGAATTCTAGTCCCAGCAGTGTGT